CCTGAAAAAAGTTAATTTCTATTCATTTTCTCGGAAAAATTAATTTTCCGGGGAAAATGCCACTAAAATGCTCGAATAATGCTCAGTGCTTTTGCCTCACTAAAATGCTCGAAAAAATGCTAGCATAATGTACAAAAGCCTATTAAAGGCGCATCGAGCTATTTTTAGCTTAGATACTATTATTTTACTTTAAAATATCAATTTCCTTGCTTTCCCTTTGCATACTGGTCATATATCTTGAAGCAGGAGATTGATATCACTGAAGTCAACCATGCTATCCCTTACAGCCAGAGCAGCCCGTGCAATGGTTGTCAAAAATATGAGCAATCTCTCCTAGTACAAAATCGCGACTACGAGGAGAACAAAAGCGAAACGTTTTTTATATAAAATACATGGTCTTGTGAGTATGATAAATTTTGCAACTTCCCGCGGAACGAGCATCATAACAGTGGTGATTACCAACAACACTCCTCCCATGTAAGAACACACGAAAACGACCAGGGAGTTGCTCTTTGCTCATTTGCCAAAGAAATATATTTATAAACTACATTCTTTGAAATCAGATGTCCAGGGGATCTTCCCCTCTACTTTTGTAATCTCGCCCGCTCATTATTATCCTGTCGTACTGAGCTCTGGGTCGCCCAGGATGAATGTGCTTTGAACTACATGCAGAATTTTTCTGTCATCAGTTACTCCCTCAGGAAAGCCTTGTTAGCACTAACGTTTCTTCTGTAAGCATGACTTAAATTGTTATCATAGCTTTGTAATCGTCGATTGCTACCGTTTTCTACATTTTCATTTCAGTAAGTTATTTCATAAGAAGATCCGGGCGTGCCTTATGAAATACTCTACGAAAATCGAAATGAAAATGAAATTCCTTCTTCTCTGTTCGATGAACAGGGAAGAAAAAGGTCGGTAGTAAATAAGGAAACTAACAATACAAATAACTCCCGTGACAAAATTTTTCCAAACAATGCGTTGTCAAAATCATCAATTTCACACATTTTAACTAAAAATAGCTAGAAAAAACTAAAAAATTATATCAAATACAAACCTTTAAATATCACATCATCTCCAATCAGCATAAACGGCGCCCACTGCCTGACGTCAGAAAAGCCATTCTCTCTCATCGACTTCATGGCCCAGTGAAGAGATTCACTGGCACTTTCACCAACAACAAGGTGCTCATAAAAACGATTCATAAACCACATGGTAGCTTCGTCCTGTACAGCCCACAGTGCCCCCAGCACGGCGCGTGCACCCGAAGCAAGAAATGCTCGAGCGATTCCAACAACTCCTTCAGCCTTTATCTGACCACTTGCACTATGACAGCAGCTAAGGACAACCAGCTTGGCTGTCAATCGAACTTGTGAAATTTCAGCCATCGTCAATAAGTATTCTTCTTCGCGTGGAGTTCCGCGGGAGCTTATAGGGGAAAGAGCTATTTCTCCACGTTCGGCATAACCGTGAGCAGCGAAGTGAACAAGACTTACTGAATGCATGCTTTCCAGGACTTTCTGCTTAGTTGCATCTTTTCCAAGCAAAGGTTGAACACCGAGGAGTCGCCCAATCATCTCGGCTTCCTTTCTCGCCCAGGGTAATGAGTTTAACTGACGAAGTTTTCCTTGGTAGTAAACATTACTAACGTCTGGCTCTCCTACGATCAATGCACCGCTTCTACTATGATAGTCTGCTGGACTGTCCTGAATCAGCTTTAGAGTCGTCAAGGAAGGAACAATACGAATCTTGAAAGTATCCGATAAATACCTTCCATTATCATCTGTTAGAGCCGCAAAAGGGACTGGGTACAACAAGCCATCCGGTATGATAATGATTTCTGGTTCCTGGAGTAAGTCAGCTACAGGAGCGATGATCATTTTGTAACCATCATCCAGGGTTGGCTGCTCAGAATCCTTCGTCTCGTCTTCCTCTTCATCTTCTATGAGACGCGAAGATGTGAAGCTGTCATCCTGAGATGTTTTGCTTGTTGGCAGGGAGCTTACAGATGAAGAAAACAAAGATCGATCTTCGCACTGGTCTGTGCGTAAATCACGACAGCCACCAAATGTTGGATTTCTAAACACTTTATTTGCACTTTCTGTGAGTTCCGTTTGTCGAAAAACAACAATTTTGTTTGGCTTGAGGATCCAAAAGTGCATATTATCACCCAAGCAGGAAACATAAAGACAAGAACTAAGTGCATTTTTGTTCATGATGTTCTCGATACCAATCCATGACTGTGGATTGAGTGATACCTCTTTTTCCACAAAGTACTTATCTGACAGTATGTCTGTCAGTGCTCTGGATCGTCCAAGCTCGGCAACGTAAAGAGCTTCATAATAATTACCTGTCTGAATAAACAACCTACAAAGAAGAAGGTAAGGGGACACATGCTCATCAAAAAAAGAAATTTTGGATTCATCTTTCACTCTTAAAAAATCATGAATTGTTTCGCACTTCAGAATGCTTTCACACAGATTTTGCAGAAGTTCAGTGATGCTTCCTCCTGCCACTAACGCGTTCAGAACAATGGTAAGGTGGCCTTTAAACTGCATTTCAAAGTCCCCTATTTCGTAACCTATCGTAATTGCTTTTTGAGCAAATTCTTGACTCTTCTCATAATGCCGCCATTCTCGAAACACTTTACCCAGAATTAAGTATGAAGCTCCAACACCACTTCTGTGTCCTATTTCTTTTTGGATCGTCAGTGCTTTTTGAAGGTATTCTTCAGCCTTAAAGTATTGACCAGCAGAATGAAGCAAAGCTCCCAGATTAGCGTAAACTGATGCTTCTCCTTTACTGTCCCCAATTTCTTTCCTGATCACTAGTGCTCTCTGAAGGTATTTTTCAGCCTCGGTATATTCACCAACAGAATGGAACGCAGTTCCTTGGTTTACGTAATCTGATGCTTCTCCTTCTTTGTCACCGATTTCTTTCCTGATCTCTAGCGCTTTCTGAAGGTATTCTTCAGCCTTGGTATGTTGACCAAGGGATCGGAATACAGATCCTAGATTTCCGTAATCTGATGCTTCTCCTCGTCTGTCACCGATTTCTTTTCTAATCACTAGTGCTTTTTGAAGGTATTCTTCAGCCTTGGTATTTTTACCAACAGAATGGAACACAGTTCCTAGATTTCCGTAATCTGATGCTTCTCCTTTTTTGTCACCGATTTCTTTCCTGATCACTATTGCTTTTTGAAGGTATTCTTCAGCAATAAAATAGTGACCAGCAGAATGACACACATCTCCCAGATTAACGTAAGCTGATGCTTCTCCTTTTCTGTCGCCGATTTCCTTCCAGATCACTAGTGCTTTCTGGAGGTATTTTACAGCCTCGTTATAGTGACCAACAGATCGGAACACTGATCCTAGATTTCCGTAATCTGATGCTTCTCCTTTTTTGTCACCGATTTCTCTCCTGATCACTAGTGCTTTCTGAAGGTATTCTTCAGCCTTGGTATATTGACCAACAGACCGGAACACAGTTCCTAGATTTCCGTAGTCTGATGCTTCTCCTTCTTTGTCACCGATTTCTTTCCTGATCACTAATGCTTTTTGAAGGTATTTTTCAGCCTTGGTAAATTGACCAACAGACTGAAACACCGTTCCTAGATTTCCGTAATCTGATGCTTCTCCTTTTTTGTCACCGATTTCTTTCCTCATCACTAGTGCTTTCTGAAGGTATTCTTCAGCCTTGGAATATTGACCAACAGACCGGAACACTGATCCTAGATTTCCGTAAGCAGATGCTTCTCCTCCTTTGTCACCGATTTCTTTCCTGATCTCTAGTGCTTTCTGAAGGTATTCTTCAGCCTTGGTATATTGACCCACAGAAAGAAACAGAGTTCCTAGATTTCCGTAATCTGATGCTTCTCCTTGTTTGTCGCTGATTTCTTTCCTGATCACTAGTGCTTTTTGAAGGTATTTTTCAGCTTTAGTATATTGACCAGCAGACTGAAACAAAGGTCCTAGATTTCCGTAAGCACATGCTTCTCCTTGTTTGTCCTCGATTTCTTTCATGATCACTAGTGACTTCTGAAGGTATTCTTCAGCCTTGGTATATTGACCCACAGAAAGAAACACAGGTCCTAGATTTCCGTAGGCAGATGCTTCTCCTTTTTTGTCTTCGATTTCTTTCATGATCACTAGTGATTTCTTAAGGTATTCTTCAGCCTTGGTATATTGACCAACGGATTGGAACACAGTTCCTAGATTTCCGAGAGCAGATGCTTCTCCTTGTTTGTCACCGATTTCTTTCATGATCACTAATGCCTTTTTAAGGTATTCTTCAGCCTTTGTATATTGACCAACAGACTGGAATACAGTTCCTAGATTTCCGTAATCCGATGCTTCTCCTTTTTTGTCACCGATTTCTTTTCTGATCACTAGTGCTTTTTGAAGGTATTCTTCTGCTTTGGTATATTGACCAACAGATCGGAGCACAGTTCCTAGTTTTCCGTAAGCTGATGCTTCTCCTTTTCTGTCACCGATTTCTTTCCTGATCACTAGTGCTTTTTTAAGGTATTCTTCAGCCTTGGTATACTGACCAACAGATTGAAATACATTTCCTAGATTTCCGTGACATATTCCAAGTCCGCGATTGTTTCCAGTCTCAATCATGATGGGGAGTGCCTTCTCGTAAAACTGTTTTGCTTCCTCGTATTTGCTTCTTTGACAGCAGATATTCGCTAGTGCAAGTAATATTATCCCTTCTTCTTCTTTTTGGCCGCTATTGTGTAATGTCACGTGAAGTTTTTTACCACATTCTATCGCACGGGTGTGATCGTACAAACGTGTGTAGCCATCAACAAGTTTATAGTATATATAGATAACAACTGGTGTGGTCAGTTCTTTCTTTGTCTCTAGGGCTTTGCCGTTAAGGAGCACCAAACATTCGTTAAAGATATCTATTGCTTTTATAATACGTCCAGTGTTGAAAAGGAAAGTTGCAACGACTGCACCAATCTGAATGGTCCATAGAATCTCCCAGATGTTGTCCATGACGCGTTTTTTCTAACTTTGAAAAAAGAATATTCTAAGCGTAAAAAAGTGAAAGGAAGAAATTTTCCGGCTGCCAAGCTACATATCAAAAACTGACCAAGAAAAAGATTTGAATGTGAAAAATAAAATAAAAATACACCGAAGACAAGAAAATGTCTTCTGCCATTGCCAAACATTATAAAGACGAACACTCTACTGTCCCCAAAGATCTCGACAAACAGTTCTCTGTCCTTGAGAAGTGCAAAAAGAAGTTCGATTGTTTAGTGAACGAAATGCTGCTAATTAGGGAACTAATAAGGCCCTGTCCACACGTATCCGTATTAGTTTGAAAACGCAACTTTTTTCCTCCGTTTTTAAAAAAATTCGCGTCCACTGGTAGCGTTTTCGCATCGTTTTCCGCCGTCCACACGTAGACGATAAATCGATTTGAAAATGATAACTTACCCGACTGCACGTGCTGGACGCATGCGTGTTTTCTATTATAAGCCCGCGAAATAATATAATTGGCGCCATCTTTGAATTTCTTTGGTGTGGGTTTATATTGTCGTGACTTTCTTTAAAGTCGCAGAATCAGTTTAAAAGGTCAAAATCAGGGCGAAAACAAAGTCATACTAAAGGGAGATCCAACCTTCCGACTCTTGACACCGGTAGCGAAAGTAACCTGATAACGTTCTGCCACCTCCTGGAATAATCAGGTTGAAGAATTAACAAAGCTAAATTTGCTTGAAAACAACAAAGGGGAGCTCCCGTCCCCCATCTTGATTAAGATTCTATTAATATTGCGCGGAGTGGATTGGATTTGATAGTGTGTCCAGCGTTTTCGAAAAGTTCCGTTTTCGTCTGTCCACTCGCACACGCGAAAACAGCGTTTTCAAAAAGTTCCACACTGGAGAGCGTTTTCGAAGAGTTCCGTTTTCATTGATCGGTTTCATCGGATACTTGTGGACGGAATCCGTATCTGTAAAGAGAAAGTTTGATTTAAGTCATAAATTTATCAATGGGAGCTTCGCTTTTAGCTGTGGCTAAATATATATATTAGTGAAGGCGGGGTTAATGCAAATCAAAATGTGACATGTTCGCCCAGCTTAGCTAAGATTGACTCTAGACTGCTCAAGAATAGCGAACGGAAGGAAATTGCGATGGTGAGTGGATTTTTTGTCGAAGGAAGGAGGCGGACGTTGCTTTATTCTTGCAATTGACAAGAATGAGAAAGATCATAAAAATCTTCGAAGCAAACTTAACTAGTCGATTATTGCCCGAAACAGGACGATTACAAAGCAACGAACCTTGAAACACGAAACAAAAAACGGATCCAAATCCACCAATCACGAATCACAAACCATGACCTTTTGAAATCGTGCAAGTAACATATGTTTCCTAAGAGGTCCGCTAAGATAATTGACGAAACAGAAAATCCCAAAATATACAAAACGCATAGCGCGATACAACGAATTTCGCTATAAGTGTAATCATAAGCTATCCTTGCTCAGTGACTATTGTAAACACCAAAATAATATATTTTAGGTGTTAAAAAAGTGAAAGCAAGCAATTTTCGGGCTGGTTTCAAAAGTTTTTTTAACTTAAGAGTTGAACTACTAAGGGGAGGTACTCAAGCTTGCATGTGACATTTAAGGTGATTCGATACAGTTTTTTGGAGACCATACCGATATTTTTCAATCGCCTCAAAAGTGATTATATGCTTATCCGATCGCTGTAAAATTTTCACTGACTCACTTTGGATTGAAGTTTGTCAAAATGTACAAGTAAAATCGATATCATTATGACAACAATAAACAAACACCTTTGAAATTGACGAAAGCCGAATTTTTGCGCAATCTAGACCTGCTACTGAAAATAGGACACAAGGAAGTTTGGTGTTCAGCAAATAACCTGCGTGAGCGGAAAAAAAACTGTGTTTGAATTCAATAAAACGTAAGTACATGTATTTTCCAAACCTTGTATTTTCAATAGTCGTGATATATCCCCTAATAAATAAGTTTTATGTTACTCAAATTAATCTTTAGTAACGTCGGAATGCTGCTTAATATCATAATGCGATGCTAGGAAATTTTGGAGGTTTTTTTTCTTTTTTGGCCACCACCTGTCTAAGTGCAACTTTATTCTAAATTTTGACTTTTGGCGCTTTTCTGTATATCTTTGGAACGGCTTAACAGAATTCTTTTTAAACCTCATTACATAATCTTCATCGTGTATATAATGTCTTAAATTCATAACGACTGATTCAGTGCAACACCTTGAAATTTTAAGAAAAACCCAGCCAACTAACCGGCCGAAAATTCGCCTTAAAACCTTCACTGTTTTGACGTTATGCTAATGTTTCCAAATTAATGCATAACACACACCTCCATGATTTGTGCATTTCAGTGTGATTATTGTCAATGTTTTGCATTCAAAAGATGCGACAAAATTCATAGTGAAATGCACTTGTCGTGGAAGTTTGTATGCTGCGCATTAATTTGGAATCATAAGCACAATCAAACTACCAACCTTGATTGGTGTCACGCCTTCGCGTCTGTTGTGCTTAAGTTAAGGTGGCTCCCTAGAGTATTAACTAATAACCCTAGCTATCTGGCATACGTTACAGAACGAAATCTAGTTACTTTGTCTTTGCGATTTTGTTCACGAGAATCACCGCTGAGGTTACCCATATAAGAAGGCTCTTTTAACAAGTTTCGTTTTCTGGATTAAGGCCTTTGCCATGGCAACACCGCATCCTTAGACAGGCAGTAATTTTGTCATTTTTAATCATTTTTTCTTAATATTTCTTGTTTCCCACGGTGAAATGTCTTTAAACTTTGCCACTTTATATTAACGATATTGCTTGACATTTTAAAGTGGAAAAAACATGGGGTCGTTAAGACGGTTTTGCCAATATTTTGAAATTTGTAATTTTTCTTAATGGAGGAATTTAGCTCTTACAGATTTTAACAAAAAAAGGACAGTAAAGAGGTATTGCAACTGTAAAGAAATGAGGCAATTTTAAAAAAAAATTACCGAAAGGAAACGCGAGAAATTTACGGTTAATTAACTATGTTGACGTCACGAAAATCCGAAAAACACGCGTGGTTCAGGGGTCGTATGAGCAAAATACGCGCGCGAGCCATCACGCCCGCATGTGCGTAATGCACAAAGCTACTGAAAACATGTGGTTTCTTTGAAAAGTACGAAAGCAATTGTTTTGAAGCCGTTTATTGGTATTATTATGGTGATATCTCGCCAGTTGAAAAAGGAGAGATAGCGGATTCAATTTTTTCCTAACACGGGATGTTTTCTTCGCAGTACTTGATTGACTATTGTAGCTAAAATTCGAACCGTGGTGGTCACTCGTGAGGATGGCGATCGTCGGAGATGAAGACGGTGGTTGTGCAAGGATCGCAAAAAAGCCCTTCATCTCCTTATCGGCTGTTCACTGTTTGCAACCTTGTTCTTCTTTAGTAATAATTTCGACGGCGAAGTTTTTTTTACAAGTCTGCTGTAAAAGATGGCGCCGATCTATAAATCGTACATCATGTCCTCAGCTACACGACGGTTTCGACGGACAACTATTGCTTTCGTCAAGGGTCAATCTGTGAGTAAAAACTATTTCGTTGTGGAAAAACGTTTTCTAATGCATCTTGGATGTGCGTTGAAGGACGTTTGAAACAAGAAAAAATACAAGGATGTTGGTTCGTCGATGGAAAGGTTCCTTCGATTAGGATGCAAGTTAAGTGGCAAACCTTTTTTCTGATACGTTTTTTAAACAATGTGATAGAGTCGGCAAAACCCCCCAAAAATTTACACTCCCTGTAATCTTGTCTTGAAGCCACTTCTAGAATTACTTTAATCAAATCAAATGTAAGAGAAGTAAAGTGACCGAGGAGCTCCGCGAGTGAAGACAATCTTCAGTGTTTGTTCGGGAATTGGCTCGATCTTTCAGATCTTTCCACTGACCGTGAACCAAAGGCCAGAAACAGCGACGTTCCTTCCTTCTGGGTTAGTGTACTAACTTCTTTGTTTTCTTAGTAAAGTTTCCACTCACCATTTACTTCGACTATTTAACTTTTGTCTACCGTTTTGAAGCGAAAGAATTGATGTCTTTGGAAAAATTTCTGTTTTGTTTTTACATACAATTTATTCTTATGGAGATCGATAGTGACTTGTAACCGTTGTAACATTGTCTCCTCTCATAAATGTTTGACCTACAGTAATCAAACTTTTTGCACAATGAGCTTCAGCAGAAAGTTAATAAAGTTTTTTGGGGGAAATATTTCGAAACTGAGAGGCCTTGTTTGTTTTAATTTTTGCGTGGACGTCGCGCGGATTTTGAAGCTCGCGCCATACTAGAGCTCAGGCTGCGCACGGTCAATTTACTCTACGGAGCCACCTTAAGGACCCTTGAAAACCCGGGACTTTCACCTAACAGTTCAGTTTCAAACTATTAAAGTTTAAACTTGACTTTGAGGCTGCGGGAGGTTAACAAAAGAACTAATTATTCATCCTTAAATCTCAGGTGTGATTTTTTCTTTTTCCTTCTTGCAGCTCCTGAATCAATAATGAATTTTAGCTAATTCGAAACTTGCCTACCCGTCTTTGAATTGAGACGCACTAGCTGAAACTTGCTCTCGTATCTACAGTTGTATCTCGATATTCGCTCTTACTTTGAAGCTACTGGCCCCAACTACTTCAATGTTTTCTTTAAAATACTTTTGCAGTTAAATTTCTAGCCAGGATCATTTCTTGACCGCCAAAACCGGTGCAAAAACAGTGGAAACCGAAAAAATTCATCGCGAGTCAGCCTGAATGACGTCAATCGTAGCTTAGTCGCGACATCGTTGCAAGGTAACTCCGCATGCCAAACCGATAGAAATATAAATCGCACTCCGCTTGCGATCCTCGCCCGGCAAAATTGTAAAGTCGCTTCGCTCGGAAATAATCAATTATTGAACGAATTTGGGCAAAAATATTGTTTTTTTTTCGTTAACCGAACCTCTAACTTTGAA